ACACTTAGGATCTGCTCCGCGAGCGCACGTTGAGTCTCGTGCATGTCCGCGCTTGGCGGGATGTAAACAGCAGCCAGAATGAATGAAGCGAACTCACGTGGGGAGTAGAATGGCTTACAGTTTATGAAGAGGAATTCCAGAGCAGGAGAGCAGCACTGGGAGATCACAGTCACATCCGAACACCAGGCATTGTTGATGTAGAAGCAGACACCTCCACCTTTTGTCTGTCTTCCGGATAAGACCCGCTGTCTGTCTGCGCGGAGGAGCTGGAATCCCTCCACATGGAGCGCGCAATCTGGGGTCTGCTCATTGAGCCACGTCTCCGTGAAGCATAAGACAGAAGAGGAAGAAAAGTCTCTGTTTCGTCTTATCAGCAACGCCAGTTCATCCGTCTTGTTGCTAAGTGAGCGGACATTGGAGAGGAAGATCCCAGGTAAGGGCGTACGTGAGCCGCGTCTTCGTAGACGCACGAGCACTCCCGCACGATTCCCTCTCCTACGGCGTCTCACTTTCTTAATTAAAAAGTGCACCAAATCTGCCACACCCACTAAAAAAAAACTGGAAGTAGGTCCGTCGGTGTTGATTTTCTGATGTTTAGAAGCTCTTCACGGGTGTAAGAGCACGCTGACACACAATTTGCAGACAAAAACAAACAAAAAAACGACGCACGTTAGCACCAGGGTTAATTTGGTGTCTTTGTCATCATTGACCAACTTGAAGTGGCTCCATACTGCACTCTGTTTTGCCATCTTCATCCTCAAGTGTATCGACCCTTTCTCCTTTGTCTGTTGTTGTCGTCAGAGCCCAGCTTCGCTTGTGTTCTCGCGTGTGCGTCAACTACGTCTGGCATCAAGCACGCCCCACAAGGGCTGGCAGGGAATTACGAGTTCAAAACGCAATTAATTGCAAATAAATAATTTTACTTGAGTAATATTTTATCATCGATTAATTGATAATCAATTAATTGCTTGCATCCCTAATGTGAAGACTTGTCAAAAGCCCAATCTCAATACTCTCACTGCGATCTTCAGCAAAGTGCACTTGGAGAAAGTGCGCAGTAAGGCTTCAAGTGCTTGGTACACAAGTGTGCAAATAATTGATGAATTGAGACAGGGAGCATTGCGTCATCGATCGCAATGCATGCGAGGATGCTGCGCGCTGTGACACTTTTTTCTAAAACCTTTATTAACAACTTTCAACAAACAACCAAACAGTTATTTGAAATAAATTTTAGTTTTTCGCTGTTTTGTATAAAACATTCAAAGCACTAACTAATTGACCTAAAATTAACAAATTTTTGGGGAAAACATTTTCAGAAAAGGAACTTTTTTCCCACAACAATGGATTGTGAGTAATGCACTTCACCCAAGGCCACATTGATGCAGACTTGAGTGAAGTGCAGATCAAGGGTGCAAAAGGGGTGTGATCAGCTTCCACATCTGAGAATCGGGACACCTTACGCGCTCGCACCCCTGGTTGGGATTGCGCAATTGAAGGGCGCAAAGGTGGAAGTACGAGTATTGGGATTGGGCCAAAGTGTCTGAAATGTGATTTCCCAGCTTCCCTGTCACTTTATTGTTTCCATGGAAATTAATTTGGCTCACGTGGTTCTGACTGCCCTATCGCTAAGAACTGGAAAATTTAATTTAATTAATCTTTGCATGAGCCTGTATAGAAATCTTTGCTAGACCATTTTACACTTGAGACAGTTTCTGCCTCCAAATCAAACCAATCTCTCATTGGGGGGTCTGACACTGGGAAGCTGCAGCCTCAACCAGGGTGGGGCTTTAGTTGCCACAGGGGGGTGTACTTCTAGTAAGTACTGTAAGTAAGTAAGCACATTTTATTTCTATAGCACTTATTAGACATAGAACCACAAAGTGCTTCACATAGCTCAAAATAAACTAAAACATAAAATCATAATGATCTCAAAACAGAAATGGATTAACATCAGAAAAAATAGACATAAAATTGTGAAATATCATAAAACAAATGAAAGATGATTACAAGTTTGAGTTAAAAACAAGAAAACAAAAGATTTATGTTAAAACAGCTTTGAATAAAAGGGCCTTCAGGTGTTTTTTAAAAGTGTATGGACTGTCAATGCCACAATAATCTAAAAAGTATGGAACTAGGATTGGGACAATAACGAATCCAAAGTTACATGTGATGAAACATGTTCGAAGTTACAAAACTTGGTACAAGTTACGCTGAATATTGTCCCAATCCTAGCTCCATATACTTTGTGGAGGAGTTAGAACATAATACATCATATTATTCAATAATTACCACGAATCGCCAAGGGAAATGTGATTATATAAAATTTTTGTGATTAGTCCCACCATACGCCGTTCAAACTGACTCACGGCGCTGTGATGTTTGGGAGCTCCGTGAACCACGTGACCGCGAGTCGGCGAGTTCAAGGAGTGTCGTAACTCTCTCTTTCTACAGCTCTGACAGAACCCTGCTCTCCTCTCCCAATGATTGGACAGGAATTCGAGAAACGTGATTGGTAGCTAAGACTCATGCTCTCATTGGTTCCACTCAAGTTCCTCCCACTGACGCTAGAATCGAGACAAAAAGATCTGTAACACTGTAGATTTCAGGTTTGTATCTGTAGAATGAAATGTGTGTTATGAGAGTTATGATTTCAAACTTGTACATTGATTTTTTTATTTTGGGAGTCTGCTAGTTACAAAACGAAAGTTTCATGTTTCTGAATGAATGTTTGATGTTACAAAATGAGTAGTAAATGTACAAAATAAAAGTTTGATTTTACAAAATAAAAAATACATGTACAAAATACAACGTTCCTGTTACAAAACAAGAAATACAAGTACGAATTGAGAATTGCAAGTTAGAAAACTAAAGTTACAAGTTACGAATCCAAAGTTACAAGTTACGAATCCAAAGTTACAAGTTACGAATCCAAAGTTACATGGGATGAAACATGTTCAAAGTTACAAAACTTGGTACAAGTTACGCTGAATATTGTCCCAATCCTAGCTCCATAAAAAACTGCTTTGAATCTCTGAAAGCATAAGAAGTCTTCTTTAGGCTTTCATCTGTCCTAGGAGCCCTGATACAGATCTGTTAGCCCTTCCCACTTGGCCGGGACATGAGCATGTTAATGAGCTGCTTGCTGATTGGTTGATTTAAACTAGAAGGCCTCAGACACTAGAGACCGCTGGTTGGAGGAAGAAGGGCTGCACATTGTGATGCTTTTATGAGAGATTTCTCAGAAAAGAAGATTTTCTTTGGCATTTTTAAACATTCTAATTTACATAAAAAGTAGGCCACACATGGCTTTGACTTTTTGGCGTGCTACTTCTGACCACCCAGGCTGTCTTTATTCACAAACAAAAAGAAAATGTTGGTTTACATTATTTGTCCCCTTTAACTGAAGCTGGGATGGAGCACAGCAGACCAGGAAGTACATCCAGGAGAGCAGGGACGGTGGCTGATGAAAAACATCTCGTCATTCCTGATTATTGAATCACCTACCAGCAAAGGGGATAACAGTGTACGAGGTGTAGTGGACTCTTGATTTGTGTTCCCGTGAAGTAGTGGAGGACTCTGGGTTTGGGTTCCTGTGAGGGACTGGAGGGTTTACCATGGAGGAGCTCACCTTTTGAGCCAGGCAAGGGGGTCTAGCGGAGTGTCGACTCACAGCATCCTTCAGTATTCTGCGTCAGGCATCAGAGGTTGAGGTCTGCTGGGCAAGAGACTGTGGAGGTTGTTTTTTTCTGGACTACAGGCTCCTGCTGGATGGCATCAGATGGTTGAGAGGGAGGCACCAAGCAACAGTGTCTTGGAGCAGAAGGTTTTGCCCGGATGTTTTATTTTCAAACTGACTGAAAGTGGTCTTGCATTTCCTTCTTTTGCAGTTCAGCAGAGTCGTCCTACATCCTCTTTAAGGTTCTCAATTCTTTTATAGGCTTTAGAAAGCATAAGCCCATCATTGTGGGGCAGAAGGAGAGGGAGGACAGACATTGAAATTAGCTTCAAGGTTGCAGAAAGCTTACGCTGTAGCTGAGCTGCCTCTGTCGGATCTGAAAGATTTGTATTCCAAATAAAGGTTAGAGAAGTCAAAGAATCCAAAACGTAAACAAAGGTTAAACAAAATCACAGAATCCAGAGGCCGGTGACGGGAAAAAACAGGTTTTAAGAGACATTACAGCACAAAATGTAGCTGAAGTAAACACGTCTGCAGGCTTCTGCGGTGGCAATGGGTGGGGATGAGGGGGGCCTCCTGTGTTGATGTATATATTTTATACATTTTTTATAGATATCAATAATTATTGATGTCGATAAATATGAAGTTTTGTTCATTAATGAGCTTTTTCTACATCGTCCGGGCCTTTTCCTGAATATCCCTATGTGATATCTTGATCCTGTCGTATTTTTCTGCGTTCCTTTTTCCTACAAGCCGATTCTTCATGTATGTGTCTGATTCAACGTGGCTCAGTTATTTCAGGATTGGGTCAAGGTTCTAAAATTCTGTACCTTTTCAGATTTTGGACAAATGGCCAAAAAACAATTGCGGGCAGGGTGGGGGAGGGGTTGTTGCTTGTTGTAGAGAATTAGTGTCAGTGTTTAAAACCCGATTCCAACCCTTCCAAAAATCCAAACGCCTACTCTTTGGAAATGTAAAAAGTGCCTGCTGAACTTTGAAACCAGGATTGTAGCTCAGCCTAACACTCATCATGTTTGCATATCTCCATTTATTAGTGTCCAGTCATGGTTCAGCTTACTAAGAGTAATTAGAAAAACTAAAACATTATAATCAATCTTCAAATGTGAGAAATGCCATCGTATGTAAACATTTGTAAAACTTAACTTGGTTTCTTATTCTGTTTTTGGTAGCTTGATGTAGGAATGTCTCTTGTGTTTGGGAACTGCAGACAGCTAAACTGTGTTTTAGTAAACCTGAATGAATGATAAATGATTAACGAGCAATGCCTTCTTGGTAACGACTTGATGATTTGTTTGATGTTTAGGTGCTGGTTTGGCACACGCGCACCGAGAAACCACACCTAGCCAACGAGCCCAAACATCGGAAGGACACGCTGATCGTGGAGGTGTGACTGAACTGAGCTGGAGGTGACCAGAACCATCCTCATCCTTCACCATGGACGCAGACTCCAAGTTGCTGCATGATTCTCTAATCCGGACTCTCCATTTTAAATACTGGACCAATTGGAACCATTAGTTCTTTTGCACCCACAGCTTGCTGGTCTAGAAATGTAAAATCTCATGCTGCTGAAATGAAAAGTGCCATACCAGTCATTTTGAATCATTCTTGTGTTTTTTTTAAACGTGGTAGTGAAACCGGCTGTAGCATAAAGACGACCTGTTACGCAGGTTACTGCTTACTGTTTCTGTTTCCTGATTAATATTGACAACCCACAACAGAAAAACATCCTCTCACACACAGAAGAGGAACCGGTTTCCACCTTTTGGAGCTGGCTTCATGACAAGAAGATCAAAACCCATCTGAAACGTGAAAAAAGTCTATTGAACTCAAAAAGCCGTGAAGACAAACTGATGGCTGAGGGTGACACGATTTTAATCTTTGTTTATAACAAGATATTCAACTTTTAACTTAAAGATGAATAAACTGAAAGCTTTTTTTTGAATCCACACATCATAGTGTTCATAAGATATGATTTAAAGGTCCTATATAATGCAATGTCCACTTTTTGGAGCTTTTGACCATGTTTTAATGTTATCTGGAACGTTGGTGGCAGTGGAGATAAGTGCCCATCCTTTAACCAGAAGGTTGCCGGATTGAGTTCCACTCAGTCTGTCAATGTTTGTGTCCTTGAGCGTCACACTTCACCCTCCTTTCCTGCTGGTGGTGGCTGGAGGGACTGGAGTGGTGGAACGGCAGCCTCGCTTCTGTCACGAAAACGGGTCGAGAGTGACAATGGTGAGAACCAATACCCTTGTGAGTAAAGGAGCCAATCCTGACAGGACCTCCCACCTTAAGGGCAGCTCCTCACGCCCAAAACAGGAAATGGGTGGGGAAAGGATGCTGGAGCTCCTTGGACGGGGACAAGAATTCTCCTGGTGGCATGACTGGGACCAATAAAGACGGATGGGGCTTGGACTGAGCTTCTGGAAACCAAGACCCTCGGGGAACCTCTGGGCGGGATGGCTCGGACTGAGCTTCTGGACTGGACAGCAGAGCAGGGGCCTCTAAGATAGGCATCACAACTCTGGTCTCTGGAGCAGGTGATGCAGCAGTTCCAGGCAGGTTCTGGGTGAGCAGCAGAGGTGTGGAGCGGCGTGTCCAACCATCCGGGAAGATTAGGAATGCATCGGAACGTGCCATCTCTTATATTTCTGAGCTCACCAGAAAAAAAAATCTAAACTGCTCACCGCTGGGTCCTTTGTGGTCAGTAGTGTTGGGTCCAGCAACATTGACATACCAGCGCATGTTTCAAGCTCACGGAGCGAAACCTGTGCCAGTGCGCGTGTCACTTTAAGAAAAAAGTCACGTGACCAAGACTGCTGCTGTGTTGCTCATTGCCAAGGAACCAGACTGTGTTTATAAAGTACCGAATCTGCATCTATCAATGAGAAAAGAAGAAAGCGACCATTTCAAAGATAAAACAAGACATCCATCCATCCATCCATTTTCATCCGCTTATCTGGAGTTGGGTCGCGGGGGCAGCAGCATAAGTCGAGAGGCCCAGACTTCCCTCTCCCCAGCCACTTGGGCCAGCTCCTCCGGGGGAATCCCAAGGCATTCCTGGCCAGGTGAGAGACATAGTCCCTCCAACGTGTCCTGGGTCTCCCTTTAGGCCTCATCCCGGTTGGACGTGCCCGGAAAACCTCACCAGGGAGGTGTCCAGGAGGTATCCAGACCAGATGCCCGAGCCACCTCAACTGGCTCCTCTCAATGTGGAGGAGCAGCGAATCTACTCCGAGCCCCTCCCGGATGACCAAGTTTCTCACACTATCTCTACGGGAGAGCCCAGCCACTCTGCGGAGAAAACTCATTTTGGCTGCTTGTATTCGTGATCTCGTTCTTCCGGTCACTGCCCAAAGCTCATGACCATAGGTGAGGGTAGGAACGTAGATCGACCGGTAAATCGAGAGCTTCGCCTTCTGACCCTAACCCTAAACCCTAACCCTAACGCTGAGATACTTTTAACTCCTCCACTTGGGGCAGGACCTCATCCCTCACCCGGAGAAGGCATTCTACCCTTTTCCGAATCAAGACCATGGTCTCAGATTTAGAAGAGCTGATTCTCATCCCTGCTGCTTCACCTTCAGCTCAAAATCAGAATCAGAATCAGAAAAGGTTTATTGCCATTGTCAATGAACAAGCAGTTCACAAACTAGGAACTTGTTTCGGTACTAATGTGCCACATATAACATGAATAAGCTGCGAACCGCTCCAGCGAAAGTTGAAGATCACGTTCTGATGAAGCCAGCCGGATCACATCATCTGCAAAAAGCAGAGACCCGATCCTCAGGCCACCAAAACAGATGCCCTCAGCACCTTGGCTGCACCTAGAAATCCTGTCCATAAAGGCTATGAACAGAATTGGCGACAGAGGGCAGCCTTGGCGGAGTCCAACTCTCACTGGGAACGAGCCCGACTTACTGCCGGCAATGCGGACCAAATCTGACACCAGTCATACAGAGACCTAACGGCCCGTATCCCTCTCTACATCAGCAAAATGGAGCCTGAGAGGAGAAAGTCTCTGCTGTGTGGGATCATTTTGATCTTTTAACTGCAAAGAAGGTGTTATGTCCCCTCTGACCGTCTAGGAGGACGAGCGGACAAACACAGAGGAAAATAAAGAAGGTTTGTACAAAGGTGAAACGAGGAGAAAAAAGTAGGTTAAAATACAATGATTTATTAACAAAAAGGTGTCTCCTTCTAACTAACTAAAACTGCTTCAAATGACTAACTGGAAACAACTCCCTGGTTAACAGGGAGTGAAGAAAACCAGTAGTCAAAACAACCAGAATAACTAAAGCTAAACCGTTACAGGTAAATAAAAAGGCCACTTTAAAGGTTAGCACCATGAATAGGGAAACGCTGGACTTAAAGTCCTCAGACAGAGGAAACGAAAAGTACTAGAAAGTCCTTTAAATCAGAGTAATTCCTAAAGACCAGTAGCTTTAACGCTAGCAAAATCCATGCTGAGGAGAACCACAGACTAGCTCTGGGTCACCCTGAAGGAAGGCTGGAGACAGGCTTAAAAACCCTCAGGAGAGGATTTCTGCGTTGTTTCAGCTGGTAGAGCAGCTGCTGCTGCTGGCGTGCCTCTCTCCACTGAGGTGAAGAGCACTCTGGAGCTGTCCCTGGTGCTGAAGGCTGCACAATGGGGACACAGGGCGCAGGTAGAGCAGGAGGCAGAGGAGCCAAGAAGCAGGGGTCATCACAGAAGGTGTGCATTTGTCTTTCCTTGTTTCTGCGCATCTGCCAGAGTAGAAAACAACAGCAATGTGACTGACTCAGTGTAAATTTATTTATTTCGTTTTCTTCAGGCTAAATGTCGCATCTGCTCAGCAGAGTTCTCCTATACAAATAAGAGCACTTCCTCAATGCTTAGACATTATAGAGTCAAGCATGAAAATGAGGAGGCAAACACACCAAAAATGAACACAGGTAAACCTATATAGATACTGGGCACGCTTTCTCACAAGCTTTACTAATATATGTTTTATTATTTTGAAATCAAGCATCTAGGAAGATTGCTCTGGACCAAGCAGTCCTGAACTTTATTATAAAAGGCTGCCAACCTCTGAGCATTGAGGGTTCAGGTCCTAGATCCATCACACTGTCTCAGATAGCTGCTGTTACTCATTCTATGTATACAGTGCTTAACAAATATTAGACCTTCACCTGAATTAAGGTTTTTGCCACAGCAACCAAAAATAAACACGTGTGATTGTCAAAGTAGGTTTTTGTTTCTGAAATGGTTAATTCACTAGTATGCATGTAATAGTGAACAGAAATGGCATTTTAATGCTAAAATGTCTTGTTTTCACAGCAAAGTCGTGTTATTTACTTACATTAAAAAACAATGCGACTTTCAAATATCATGCTTGATTAATACCTGTCCAGTGTGTCAGCTCACATTTGGGTTTAAAAACTGAATTCAGTTTGAAATTCTTAACTCCTATTCAACATCGACATACATATAAGGACAATGGGTTTCCATATGCTCCAATAACATGTTTTTGAGGGGAAATGGGAGGTGGACACCACCGCCATTTTGACCGTGTCACAGGTTCCGTCAAGCCCAGACAATTCCATAAAAGGGAAGAGAGGAGGAGCTGAGGGTGTGGCTGTAAGGCTGGGATCAACTGACGACACCCGGTCGAACTAGCTACAAGCTAACCTGAAGCTAACCCAAAGCTAAAGTGGAGGTGGGAGCTAAGCTAACGGAGGTAGCAACCTAGCTACAACCGGAGTTGACTGTGCACAACACCAGAGCTTCTGAGTCAGGGATCCGCCGGGCTGACCGCTGGGTAAAACCGGGTGGAACACAGAGGTCTCCGAGACCTCCACAAGCCGGCAGCTGCACAGCAGACAAGCGCCTCTGCGGTCTGAGATGCGCAGAGCTGCCACTGGGGAGAACCGGGTGGAAAGGTTTCCATCCCAGAGCTCCACAAGCCGGCAGCCCGTGCAGCAGACAGGAGCCACGATCAGACAGAGATATGCAGGGTTGCGGGGAGGGGAGAAACGGGTGGAAAACACCGGTCTCCTGAGAGCTCCACAAGCCGATAGTCGGAACCCAGCTCCACCAACATGTTATATTTCAACCCATTTTCTAAAGTGCAGCATTATGTTAAATGCACTGGGGTTTACCCTATTACATTTAAATTTCATGGTTAAACAGTACATGTTAAAATCTAAGCTCAGCTCGGCAGTGACCTAAAATACATAAATATAATTTTACTTACTGAAAAAAATGAAGTGGAGACTCCTTGGACGCTCTATTAGTGCAATTAATGCCACAGCAAGTCATTTTGTCCAACAATTGCACAAATAATATCCAAAAAAAGAATACACAAACAGAGAGACTCAAAATCCCGGAGCAGTTTCCAAGCCAGGCCGAGGCTCTACTGAGGCCTTTCCACGGAGCTAGCTCTGTGGTCACGTGGGTTGGATGCTCATTAATTATACAGAATTTTAGGCTTTTAATACACTTAAACAGAAGAGTGAGAAAACAATTCACCCCCCTCAGAGTTGTCATGAGTGTAAACTAGATCATTTAAACCAAAAACATGTTTTGGTACCAGGCTGTAAACATGTTTATTTCTGCTGTGAAATTGGTATTTTTAACATGGGAGTCAATGAGGATTTGCACGCTTCTGACACCAGCCCCCAGTGGATGAGGGTGGAACTGC